TCCTGGACTGGTTACCCCTCTCTGAAGATACTCAGGGCCAGGTTCCCATCCCTGCACTGAGCTTTCTTGACACCCCGGGATCCCCCCCACCCCGCCCGCCATGTATGCTTCTGTGATCCCAGAGCACAGCACAATACTAAGTCTCTACTTTATCCCCAATTGATTATTTCAGATTCCATGCTAGGATAAAGCAAACACTGAGGACATCAGGACCCTGGGCCAGGTTCCCTAGCCACTGAGTCCCCTTTGAATGGCCTCCTCCTTCTGCTCAGCATCCTGCCGCAGAGCCAGCTTATCTGCTCTAGCACAGACCCCTCTGTCTGTGATTCTTGTCTCCTGCAGAACACTGCTATCTACTCAATTCTTTTTTCTCCCACTGCACCATAGGCCAACTCTAGAAGCATCATCCATCCTACCTGAAGGCTTAGTCATTTTAGTCTGGAAACTTGAGAAGTCGTGAATAGGTTTCGTGAAGGTAAAGATAAGCTTAATTTTATATTTACCTCTAGCTAATAACTGACAGAGAATAGGCCCTTCACTTCCAGAAGCCAAAAAGAAAGGAAAATGCTTCCTGGTGACAGGATAATTTGTCAGAAAGTTATGAGTGAGTTCAGCAGAGGGGTATAGGAAGTGTATATTGAACAATATGACACACTCGCTTCTAATTGCTGCTGCCTTTCTGATCAATAATACATGTTTTCAAAAAGCCTTCTGTTTGCATTTACACAATGGATGGTAACTACTGCAAAGGATCCATTAAGACCTATTTTAAAAAGTGCATTCGTAAAAAGTTGTCTAAATCTGCATTACAAGGCAGATTATGAAACTGCCTTGGGAGACGTTTTTCTAAAAGGCATTTAGGCCATATCTGCCGGACTTGCCAACTGTGCTTACTGCCCCCTCCATGGCTCACTTGTAAGCCAGAAAAAGCTTTCTCCGTGGCTCCAGATGATGTATCATCAAGGCACAGTCAGGCTTGAGGCCTCTATACAAACCAGCTGTGCCCGCCACCCAAGACACAACTAAGCAAAAGTCCCAGGAGCCACGGTAGGTAGTCATGTATCTACCTACCCCTCTGGAAACTCAGCTAAGTGGTCCACAGTGACAAGAGGGGGCCTAAGATTGGGGGGGGGCAGAAGATTTCCTTCCAATCCTGAGAAGGCTGTGGGTCAGATGGGGAAGGTCTGGAGCCTATGACCAAGTCAGGAGGGTGGAGGATAAGTGTATGCTCTGACAGGCCAGGCTTGCATTTGACACCCAGATATGAGTTCTTACACATTAAAGCAGGCCAGGCAGTTGGGTTTAGGGGACATCTGGCTTCAATGTGCTACCTGAGCAATATCCTCTGACACTTTCAGCCTTCTATTTCAGCCTCTACAGCTGATGGAACAAGTAAAATAAAAAGGACCACCAACAGGGGCAGTTGTAGGGCCTGTGTGAAGGCTCTGTGAGGACTAACTGGTTTGATCCTAGGCAACCTGGAGACAAGGGACTGCTTTCCACGGAGGGGAACCTGGAAGAAGATGGAGAAAAACATCCATTGTCCACTGAGCCCATCCAGATATTATTGTTTTATGTTCAAAACAACACTGCTAAGCAGCTGCCACATTGTTAGACCTATGTTACACTGCAACTCGGGGAGCTTGCAGACACTGGATGTGGCCAGTCTGGTTCTTGGCTAGGTGAAAGGAATGGGGATGGGGTTCCTACAAGGAGAATGGGAGGGACAGAGGAGAAGGAGGATTGGGGGACCCAGCAGGAGGGACACGTGGAATTGGACAAAGAACAGGACAGGTCAGCCATGGGGAGGTAGGATCTGTCCGGCTCCCCAGGACTTGATAGGTAGGTCGGTCTGCCTCTGTGGGCTTTCCTGAGGCAGGGGCTCTTGCCTCAGGCATCTAGTCAGGTCTGAGGCTTTGTCTACAAATGTCCCCAGTGGGCACCGAGGCAGGCAGAAAGAGAGGATCTCCAGAGGCCAGTAAAGCACATCCCTTGTCCACACCATGGCAACAGCCCAAGCCAGGTATCCTGTGAGTGTGTTAATGGTATAGCATATTTGACAAGGAGATGGTCCTACTTGTTCACACGGGGGGGACACATTCACGGTCAGCTGTTGGGCATGTTTTTCTTTCTGCAACTCCCTGGAGGGCAGCCAACAGCAAGCCAGGGAGGCAAACTGTGAGGGAGCAATGGACCCAGCCCCACCCACCTCAACACCCCACTGGGATAGCAGAGTGCAGTGATAGGCAGATGGAGAAACTGAGGTATTGAGTTTCACCCTAACAGGGCACATAGTCTCAGAATCTGTGCCTGCAACTCTTGTGTCACACTATCTGCTGGAGGGGCTTAGACCCCTACCCCTGTCTACTCTGAGAGACCCAGCCTTCCAGAGCATCCAGGTCTGGGCTGTGCTCCTGGACTTGTTACCCCTCTCTGAAGGTTCCATGGATCCTGTCCCTGCACTGAGCTTTCTGGACACCTCTGAACACCCCCACATTTGTCTCTATGGTCCCAGAGCATTGCACCCAGCCTCCTTCGCCAGTAGCAGTTCCTCCCGACTAGCAGGGATCTCCGTCCATGCTGAGCCTGGCATCCACACACCCTTCCCTGGGCTGTGTTTGGGGGTCAGACCCAAGAGGCTGCAGATGGGCCTCACACACTAGGAAGTTATGTCTGGCTTTCACATTCCCACTTGCTGCAGGGACACTATGTGAGCGCTTACCTGCTAGCGCTCACAAGCACCCGACAACCACTGTTGGGCAGACGAGAAAGCAGGCTCAGAGAGGCAAAGTTATACAGTAAGCAGCAAAATCCAAACTCAAATCACTCCAAAGAGCATCCTGCATCGGAAGCTCTTGGGGAATTTTTATTTTAAAATGTGGCTTTGGACATGAGGTGTGGCTCAGTGGGAGAGCATTTGCCTAGCATGCTTGAGGCTCTGGGTTTAATCCCCAGTACCATTAAAAGAAAAAGAGAAATAGAAAAGCGCCTGTGTGGGTGAAATCTAGAACCTACCACACTGTGAACATGAAGAGCTCCAACTCCGGTGACCGGTGACCTTCAATGGGAGGGGGGACAATGGCAGGGCAGGTTCCAGGGAGCCCTCAAGACAATGGCTGAGTGTGTACTCAGTGCTGGCATTGAGCTCCATCCTTATGTGCTCCCTTTTTAAAATCTCTCCTCTGTCTCTCTGTCTCTGTCTCTGTCTCTCTGTCTCTCTCTGTCTCTCTCTGTCTCTCTCTCTCTCTCTCTCATCTCTGAGAGAGGTGTTTACAGCTGGGGCCCAGAGCAAGTAGATTAAAAGTTAAGAAAGGAAACTGGAGCCTCATGCAGACCTTCCCCCATCCCCAGAATGAACAGGAGCAAAGGGTGGAAGTTTCTTGGAAAATCACAGGCTAAAAGCCTTTGGATTCTACCCCAGGCTGGGGTACCTAACCTTGGGACCTCAGGGAAGTACCATTCATTTTTCTCTCCCCTAGAGAATGTTCCTTCCTACTGTGCTCCGATTCTGAATATTATGCCCTGAACCCAGGTAGGGCTGAGAGACCCTGGCCTGTGGTCCTCCGTGTCCCATGACTTCCCTCTGAACTCTAATAGATGCTCTGTCTCTGGTCAGCTCCCTGGCCATGCGTAAGGAAGGGTACAGTAAGCATTCAAGTACCTAGGTATTTGTGTATGTGAACACAGGTGTGTGCATATATGTGTGTGTTTGAGAGCCCACCCAACACCTTCCAAGTAAAGGGAAATATCACTATAGTATTTGGACTCCAAAGTGTAGAAAGGCCTGAGGGAGACCAGACGGGAGTGCATTCTTGGACAGGTTCCTAAGATGGCCATACTGGAGTCCAGTGTCAGCAAAGTCTTGGTCTTTAGGAGGTATGGGGGTGAGGCTGGTTGGAGGAGTGGACCAGGCTTCTCTTTTCCCTTTGCATTCTCCTGGGAAAAAGCCATAGCAGCCTGTTTGTAGCCAAAAAGTAACCCCCCTCCTATTCTGAGCCCTTTACTGGCCACAGGCCTGAGGGATAGTTCCAAGGATGGGGTGTGTAGAACCCTGTGGCCAATTCTAGCCCCATAGATCCAAGGACCAGTGTCCTCAGGATGACTATATTTGGCTGGCAGATCTGTGGTCTGGCTATCCACCCATCAGCAAGCAGGCTCTAGATGGACATCTCAACTGGCCTGGTCCCAAGTCAGCCTCTGTCTTGGCAGCTCCTGCCTGTGAGGGTGACTTCACTTTGACTTCATATCTGCAGTGATGTACAGATTGCTTATTCAGCCCTGAGCTCAATCAGGCAGGAGGGTGGGGTTCTACACACTGCAGAAGAGAAGCAGCTGACCGCCCCCCCCCAAGTCCCCATCCCAGCTCAGGTTCCTGGGGACCTGTACAAGGCCCCGTGAACTTCTATTCTTCCATCCCTCCATGGCTAGGTGGAAGCCAGACTTCAAAAGGCAGATGGGGGTGGGGAGAGTTGGGCTTTCCTCACAGAGATCCAGAGCCCACATCTGACCTCATCCAAGACCTCCCATTTCCTGTCTAGAAACTCCCATATCAAGGGTGACTATGTTTAAGCATCATTTCTTGGGGGAGGTGTGTGGATTTTTCTGGACAGACTCCTATTTTATTTACACCCCCCCTCCCCTGCCTACCAGTTGTCCTATTCTGTCAGTTCCACATCCCAAGAATTCTTCTAATTGGAGGGGGAAGGGCATGTTCCAAGCACTGCATTAACCTACCAGCAGCAGGCCCTTGAAAGTTCTGTCCTTGGCCACTTCCTTGGTCCTATTTTTTGGGACCAGTCCTAGGAATTCCAAACTAGCCCAATGGGACCACAACCATTTCCACCATATTATAAACTAGATGCCGGCTCTTCTTCCTCTTTCTCTTGGTCAGGGCTCCTTCCCTACTCCAGCGCTAGCTCCAGAAGAGGCTGCAGGCTCCCATCACGTATCCCCTCTTCCAAACAGAAGAGGATGCACTAGGTGTCCAGAGAGACTGGAGGGACGTCAGCCTAGTGTCTGGGTCCCTTTGGAGAGAATGGTAGCCAGTTGGCCAGACCCTGAATCTCTGCGTGGCTCCTTTGCTCTCTGGGCAGCGGGAAAGGACAAATGCAGGAACAGTAAGCAAGCGCATAGGGTAAAAAAGTGGCTATGCTAGCAGATGTTCACGGATCCAGGCTGTGGATAGCCGCGCCACATCTGTCACGCACCCAGCTCTGACCAGCCCTCTGCCAGGAGAGAAATCACAGGTCCCGAAGCATCCCCAGACCTCCCCACCTTTCCCAACGCAGTACCTGGAGCCCCGCCTCGCCCTCTCCGCACCCCTCGGGCACCCTGGCCCCGCCCTCCCGCTGCCCCTCCCGCCGCGCCCTGCTCCGCCCCTGTCCGCTCCCGGGGCTCCTTCGGCGCAGGTCCCGCCCCAGTCCCGCAACTGGAGCCGTTAGCGCTGCAGCGGAGAGCCGCTCGGAGTCCGCACCTGGGAGTCGCGTCCGACGCTCGGCGCCCGCAGTGCCCGCTGCGCCCGGGCTGGCATGGGGAGACCGGGCTGAGCGCCGCAACCCGCCACCAACACCCGCCTGCTCTCCCCGCGCGGCCCTCGCGCGTGCGGGCGATGGCGAAGGCGACGTCCGGCGCCGCAGGGCTGGGGCTGAAGCTGTTCTTGCTGCTGCCACTGCTAGGCGAAGGTGAGTCCGAAGGGCCGCGCGTGGCCGTGGCGGCCGCTGCGAAGTTAGCGCTTCGCACGGAGCGGCGGAGGGGACGCGCGCAAAAGCGCGCTTGCCTTGGCGGCGAGCAGCGGGCTACGCTGCGAACCACCTCCCCGCCTGGGAACGGACAGTGATCTGGCCGCCGCTGGGCGGGTCTGGGCCGGTGCGGGTCACGGTCCCGGCGGCCCGGCCCTTGCGCATCTCAAGCCGCAGCTGCGCATCCCAGGCTGGTGGCGTCTCCTGCCGCATTTGCGCGCTGGGGCAAAGCGTAGATGTTGCGGGGCGCAGCGGGGAGCGGACGGGTCCCGCAGCCCCAGGGAAGCCCGCGACTTGCGCTAGGAATTCCATTTCTGCAGAAGACTACTGCGTCCTGGTTTTCTTTTCGCCCTTCACTTCCGTGCGTTCTTCCTTCACTTCTGCTGTCCTGGCCCGCTGAAGGGTGCCGAGGATCTTTGATAAAAGGTTATTTTTCCCTTGTGTATTTTTGCCGCCCTGGTCTTTAAAAACCTAAAAGCCTGTGGTTTCTGGGACGTATTCCCCCGAGAGTACGTCATGGTTTGAGCCCCACCCGGCAGCTGCGAGTCCTTTGCCACTAGCCACTCGGCATGGACACCTGAAGGTGTGGCCTTTGGGGCCATACCATGCAGGGCCCAGGGCTGACGTTTACCGAACGCTTTTGACCACCTGGAGGTCGAGTGTGATTATATACCTCCAGCGTTGTGCGTATGCAGGAGTCCTTTATTAGGTGTGGCCTTGCCAAGGCTGGCCACTGCCTGCACTCTACATCCCCGACAAAATGAACCCTAAGGATGGAGGCTATGGACACCCCCCCCCTTGGCTGCACATTTAATGTTTTGGTTCCCTCCTGGAGTGTTTGTATTTGTACCAAGTTTCCTTCGTTATCAGGAGGGAACCCAGGCCACCAGGCTATCAAGCCAGCCCTCCTCATCCCTGCCCCTCATCCTTACAATGGGCTTTCTCTGTCTCTTTTTCTGTTCCCAGCCCTAGGGAACAGAAAAGGCCATGGTCACCTCACCGTGCTTCTAGCCCCAGGTCCTGTAGAGACTGGCTTCACAGACCAGTCAAAGGGCTGCATTTGATGGTTTGGCCTGGGTCCCAGCCCAGCAGAGACTGAGGCAGATAGAAGGGAAAAGGGTAAAGACTTCTATTTCCTGAAGGGAAGAATAGGTGGCAGCATCTGTCCTTAGACCTTAGGGCCCTGGGGTCACAGTGCTTGCAGGGGAGGCAGGCAGGAGGCTGTGCACCAAACAGACGCAAACACAGAAATTAACACGCTGCGAAGTTCCCGTGTGCCTTTGGGTTGCAACTTCGTGATTGTAGGTGTGTAGTCCCGTGTCAGGAAGATGAGCTGCGCCGCTTCCCCAAGCTCTCCTAGCCCGGAGTTTAGTGAGGTACCCAGTGCAAGGGTCTGGCCTGTGACATTTGGCAGGAAGGATTATAGGGTGCTTTTTGTGCCCAGACCCCTGGCCCATAGAATCAGGTGACCACATCCAGCTTCCAGAATCCAGGGAATGGAAGCCCCCGTCTTATAACTAACCCCCTTTCTGGGATGACCATGATTAGTGGCACAGAGTGAGGAGCAGCGGCATGATACCCAGGAGGAAGTCATTGGGGCTTTTGGAGAGGCCCTGTAGCCGCCACCCTGGAACCCTGGAGCCCTAGCTGCATTCATCGGTCAGCTCCAACCTGGGTGGGGCTCCCCAGTCCAAGAGGACAGGGAGCAGCTTGGCCTCTGGCGCCCTCTTGCGGATGCAAGTGTTCTAGTGTCTGGGCCTATTGCCCTGGGTTTGTAGTGGGTCTATAATGGTAGAGGAGCCTTCTTCCTCAGCTCTAGCTACACTCATTCCAGGTCGACACTAAGACACACTCCCACCCTTCTTTGTGAACACATGCTCAAGACCTGTGGACATATTTACTCCCACAGTGTGGCCTGGCTCTGCTGTGTTCTCACTCTCACCCCAGGCGTTCACACCCCTTATGATCTCAACTGCCACCAGGCCTCCTACCCTGAAACCAGAGCTGACAGTCTCCTTCTGCAAGTTAGAACTTTCTGGACTCTCACTGCTCAGCATAGGTAAAGCTCTCCCATTGTATGGATGAAGACACTGAGCCCCAACATCTGGGGCTCCCCAACATGTCCCAGGCCGACCCACCCTGGCCCTCCATATCTTCCTGCCTGGCTTCTTGCTTGACATCTCAAGCAGAAGGATCAAGATATGGCACTATCTTGTAGCAGGGCCCATCTCCAGGCAGCCCCGCTAAGTAGAGGCCCCATTTCTGCCTGCACCACCAGGTACTCCTCTACAGCAGGCACCTGGGGCCTGAGAGACACAGCTTCACCTCTTTTTACCACCCACCCCCGCGTCCCCTCACTGAGTTCAGGGGCACCTGGAAATTTGTCCTGTGTCCAGACTCACCGGGCCCCTTCCTTGGGTCTTCACCCCAGCTGCTGAACCCCCTGGTCTCCAGGAGCTGCCTGCACCTGTTTTCTGAGCTGGGCCATCTGGGGTGCTCCTGATGGTGGGTCCTGTGAGCAGACAGCAAGGGAGGAAGTTACTGAGCACATTCACTAAATTGCCTTATTTTGCAGAATTGCTTTAGGAACAGGCTAAGTAAATCACTGTTTCCTTGGTAGTGTGAAGAAAATGGGATGCATTCACCTAATGGGGTGCTAATAGCCTCTTAGCTAGGGGAGGAGAAAACTAATTAAAAATTATGGGATCTGTTGAAATGGAGCCTGGGATAGGAAGGGAAAGGGAGGTCTGGAAGCTGCTACCTCCCCTGGGGCCTTGCCCTCTGCAGCCTGCAGAGAGGCCTCTCTTGGTCCCCTTGTTGTGACTGGGGAGAGCTAAAGCCAGCAATACTTACCCCACGGGGCTCTCTGCATGCTGGGCCTGGACTTTACCCTGCCTATATAACAGTTCCCTTTATCAAGCTACAACCCTGTGATGTCTGTGGGCTTCTTCTCCCATTTTACAAGTAAGCAAACTGAGGCTCCCCGAACCTGTGGAGTCTGGAACCCATGAGGACTTAAGGACTTTCCATTCCCCATCTCTCATTTTCAGCAAGTCCCATCTCTGGGTCAGTGGAGCTTGGTACCAGGTGTAGAGCCAAGGGGGCACTTGGGAGAAGGCAGTGGCCCTGTCTGTCCATCACAGTGAGTCACACATATTGAGTTGCAGGTACCCTAGAGGCAGCCTAGCCCAGATCTAGGAGTGGCCGCTGACATACAGCACTCTCCACAGACACCTGAGGCAGGAGCCTCTCTGTTCTGAGCTGTGTTCTCTAGATGTTGTTGCCTCAACTGACAGGCTCACTCTGGGAATCCTGTGATCTGGGAACCAACCCTGGGCCTGGCCCTGTCATAGCTGGGCTGGGGAAGGGCCTGTATGCTGGTGTACAGGTGTGCAACCAGAGGGCCAGAGGCAAGACACTCAAGGTGTGTTCATTGTGCAGTGTCTCCAAGGACTTGGTGCCTTAAGCATGCTGCTGATGCTAAGGTGAGGACTGCAACTGTGTGCCCTCATCCAGGTGACAGCCACCTACCTAGGGCACTGGGATAGATGGCTAAGAAAATGCCCATCGGGTGCCCAGGAAACAAGGGCAGAGTTGGCCTGGAGTCCTGTCTCCACTCATGAACACTTTCTTCCACCTGGATGAGTGGGCATGATTGTACTGCAGAGGGGGAGGTGCCCCAGATCCTGCCTGGCTGCTGGCCTCAGCTCTGTCCTCCCTCCCCACTGTCCACTCCTCCTCTTCCTCCTTCACTGTTACTTTTCTGTATGAATGGTTTGATAGTACTGATCAAAAAGAGACTTGAGTGTCACTTTGTGAGGAGGGATGAATGAACACTAAAAAAAGCACACTAAGCAGCTAATGGGAGAGGGTATTTCAAATAGAGGTGGGCATCTCGTAGCAAGGCAAGGCAGAAAGGATGCTGGGACAGCCTGATAAGGAGCGTGCTGGTCATGGGCCACAGAGGAAACGATGGCAGTGGGTCCCCCTCATCTCTCTGGGTCAGTGAGGGATGCCCTTCATGCCCTGTGGTGTGGGGTGCCTCATCCGTAGGAAGCTGTGGAATCAGTACAACCCACTCAAGCCCCCTAACACCCTCTCTCCAATAACAGCAGCCAGGGTTCTGTGCTCTGGGGTATAGGAGAGGCTGAGGCTGTACCTCCTGAAGAGGACAGGATCCTTCCTGATTTCCAGTAGGTTCCAAAACACTGGAGAGCTCTTTGTGGACTGGGCCTTCCTCCTCCCTCGTTCTTTCCCTATCTAGTACCCCATCACCCACTTCCTGGTCTCCAGGACCATGGAGAGGCCCTGAGCAGGTCTCCCAGTTGAGTAAATGTAGGGGGCCTTCAGGGAGCCCTCCCCACCACCTGAGACAGGAGACTGTCTAGCCAGTAGATCCCTAAACTATAGTTTGAACCCTGGGGCAGCCACAGAGCGTGAGAGGGGGCTGCCAGGTTCATTCTTGAAGCTCCTCCCCTGGGAAGCTGGTGCCCATTAGAAAGCTGGTTGATGGGACCTTGAGGGCTGCCGTTTAGGTGCCACCTGGGCTCTGAGGAGAGCAGGTGGCCAACCCCAAGCAAACACTTCTGTTTGCTTTTGCCTTGTGGATGGCTCAGCCCAGGTACTCCTGGAGGTTACCTGTGCACCTGCCCACCTGGTGGGCTGGCAGTGTAGTTTCCTCCTTGGTACTGTTGCTACCCAGTGGGGCTAGGGTTCTGCAGCAGGAGATGCCAGTGGCCCTATGGCCCAGATTTTAAGGGACGTAATGCCCTATTCCACATTCAGGATCTAGAAGGTGGTTCTCACTGGGGTCCTGGGCCTTCTATGTGACATGGAGTGCTGGTGTCTGGATTCTATACGGCTGTCTGAGGGACAGTGTGACCCCCCTGAATGGAAGACAGGATGCTAGACCATGTTCACTAAACCCAATTCCATGTTTTTCC